CTGAATCCAGAGCCCCCCGACTCAGAACACAAAACAAAGCAGAGTTACACCTACTACTCATTTTATTGTATTTTATTTGCATAAACAAACTTCAGGGCTTTGCTAAACAGGAACTGTTCAAGTCAAACCAAACCGAACTCTAGTTGGTGCGCGGGGAAGCGGCACAGCAATCCTGGGGGGGGGGAGGCGGGATGGAGAGGAGAGGGAGCGCGGAGCCTTTACAGCACGTGCACACTCGGCGCCGGCGCGTGGACCTGCCTCTCCTGCCGAGAGGGCTCCGCGACGCGGCCAGAGCTACTCGCAACTTCCTCGGAGTATTTTTAAGAAGATAAAAAGAAATACACCGTAACGGCCGTCCTTAACCAGCACAGGAGGGATTCGCCTTTTGTTTTTATAAAAAGATTAATAAAAAATATTGAAAAATTCTCATCTGCTTTTATAGTTTTAACCTAGTAGAATTCGGAAGTTTCTTAGAAAACTATGTTACCGTGGAAAGAGCACTCGAGTTCACAGTCAGCTGCAAAGAGGTTACACAAAATGCCTACAAGCGGTTTGGGACTCCAGCACACACCAGGCCTAACAGTGTACACAAACAGTGGTGAAACGCAGGGCGTCATTTCTTCTCTTTTTAAACCATGCTAATTTGGTTAACTTTCAACATAAAAGGAAAACAATCATTTTTAAAAGGCCCTAAACTCAGCTGTTACATTAAAAAAAAAAATGTTTAAAAAAAATCGTAGCAGTTTGGTCCCAAGGAGTTAACATTTAGATGTTTATTCACATGCTTCATCATTTTCTTATTTATAAGAACCAAAAATAGTTTCCAAAATTATCATTTAATCGATGTTACTACATACGTAAAGGCCTAAAATAAGTAGAGTATGAATTTAAAAAATTGAATACACAATTGGGGAGAAAAATTTGAACTGGCGAGTTAATCCCGACCTTCACTATTTCAAATTATAAAAGAAAACAGAAACGCCAAGACTACCGGGTTGAGATGGGCACAAACCAAAACCACATTGTCTCCAAAGCCTATCACCAAAAAAATAACCGACCGTCCAGGAAGGTCACAGACGAGAGAAAACCCAGGATCTCACCCAGTACTTGACCTATTCAGTCCAGAGGGTAAGTCTTTGGGAAGAGACTCCGCGAGTGGGTCCAAGCGAAATGATTTACCAGTTCTAGCCCACGCTTCGGGGGGCCGAACTCTGGGAACGCAGTCAGTGAACTTCGGGATTGTTCAGAGCTCCTCTGCGGGGCTCTGCTCAGCACGTCGGGGTCGCCCTGGCAGCCCCCAGCAGCAGCGTCGTGCTGCACCCTCCCCCCCGCCAGGGCGCTCGGACACGCGGCCGCTGCGGCTACTCGGCCGTCGTCTGCAAGTTGTCCTTCTCCTCCCTGTTTTCCGTTCCGCTTTCGTCGTCTTCGATTTCTCCTTCTTCTCCGCTGAATTTGTCGTGAGCCCACTTGGGGCTGGTGCTCGACTTCCGGAACATGAAGCGGCCTCTTCCCCGGGGGAAAGCACCCCGGCCACGGCCTCTGCTCACCCACTTGTCGGCGCCTTCGCCCTCCCGGTCATCGTGCTGCACAGGGGAGACAAGGACATGGGCTCACACAGACTGGCTTGTAAGAGCTGGAAAGCTCCAGGTCGGGACACGCAGCGCCGCGGCACGAACCGGACTGCCGTGCTCATGCCACAGCACGTACTGTCCCCTACAGAGAACCACGGGCTTGTTCTGAGGAAGACAAGCAGCAGATGAAGGCAGCACTGCACAACTGCTGCACGGGCTCTGTGCGCACAGCAACCCGGCCTTGCCGGCAGCAAGGGTTCTACGGAATGTTTCGGGGTGGGCAGGGACGGGTGTCAGGCCTGCAGGACCATCCTGCAGTACTGTTTCCCCTTTATTTTCCTGCCAACGACACCACCTTGGCAGCTTCAGTCCCTCAGCTTTGTACTTGGGGAGGTTGGCAACACGTGCCGCTTTCGGCAGCGCTGTGCGCGAGCTAAGGCACATGCAGCTGGTGGAAGCTGACACAGACCATGTCATTGGGCTCAAACTGATCCATTTCTGCACTTAAAGTGCAGTGTAGAGACTGGATATCCCCCCAAAAAATAGAATTCTGTTTTCAACAAGATCAGAGAAAAATGCAGTAAAAAAAAAAAAAAAAAAAAATATCCAGGCTTTCTTGTTGGAGTTACAAGATTGAAATATCGCATTACTTAATGAGAAGGTTCGGCACCTCGAGTAGAGAGGTGGAGAAAATTTTTTCTCAGGAAGAGAAAAAATGAGCTGGTGTCTGTTTAAAAGTGCCTCTCTCAGAGAGCACAGCCAGTCACCCAGGTTCCCAGATTAATGCCTGGTAGGGTGACAGACCGCTGTCATCAGCATGAAAAAGGAACAGTGTTAACCCATCCGGGAAGCTGGACGCTTTACGGGGACAGAACCACCACAAACAGTGAGTTGATGTACACCTTGAGTGTGTGTGCACGTTTCAGGGCTTCAGACACCTACCAAGTAGTACTTCTTGCTCTTAGGAGTGTACTCTGGATCCCACTCCTCATCTCTGCTTCGCTTCTGGAAGTCGTTGCTGCCACCGCTGTTGCTGTTATTGTTGCCTGAGAAGTTGCCTCTGCCCCATCCTCTCCCTCTTGCTCTGAACTGCTGCAACAGTAAAACACAGAAGAAAAATAAAATGGTTGCGGTGGCAATGCCCTCCCACCCCCAGACAGCTTCCAGGGCACCTAAAAGACACAACTTCAGTTCTGTAATCATCCGAGAACACCTTTAACCTCTCACGAAAATACGAGCTCAGTACATTGTAGGGTCTTTAGCTCCTCTGCTCACACAGTGCACCGCGGTTTCTATCGAGCTGTTTAACATCATGTAGAGGCATTTCCGGAGCACCCAAGAGGAAGCATTTAGCAAACACAACATGCACACATGACATCTGTGTAGCCAAGGCAGAAGAACTGCAAACAAGCAGTGTGGTTATGACAGATGAGTCACCTGGTAGCCTGCCCCAAACTGACTGATGCGCACGGTGCTGCCCATCAGGGTTGCTCAGCAAGTGACAATGCACAAAAGCTTCCAGGCTTGATTCTGTTCCACGTATCTCGAGTTCAGCTGCCCAGACTATATCCTCAGCACCCTGCTTTGTGCTCCAGACCTGGAGCGATCACATTGTGGCTCATCATCCACAGCCAGACCATGCCTTTGGGGTTTCTCCTTCACAGTACGCTTTAACAGTGACAGAGCAATACCCCATGGCTGCTTTTTGACTTTAGGAATTGATTCTTGGGGCAGGGGGTGGAGAACACTTACAAAGGTTCCTCTAGCTCTTCCTCTCTCATTCGGACCAGTGAATTCTTTAGTCCCAAGTCGGGACTTGTCAAAGCCTGTGGTGCTTTCCTCCCTCTCCTCAGTCTCCTCAGGATACTCCTCCGCTTTGACAGAATGAGAGGACCGCGAAGACGATGAACTGGATCTGGATCTCTCGCGCACCCTTCGGTGTTTCCTGTTTCAGTGATAGGAAATGGAGCAGGCTTAACTCAGTCATCACTTGTTTGCTCCAGAACCATTTCTTTATCACTCCCTAGCAAAGCAATGCTCTCCTCTCCTTTCCCTGCTATAAAAAGGAAGAGCCATGGCGAGAGCTCAGCATCAGCTAGAACACGCAGACCTAATACGGGTCTGAAGTCTTCTCCAGTAAGAACTCATCGCTTCTCTCTGAGGTGTTTACACCATCTTCTATTGGATAAGCATGGATCTAGGGAGTTCTAGTCAAATGGAAAATTAGGCTAATAGAAAAGGATTAAATTAACATTAAAGCAAAGCCGTTTAAACCTGGCTGTTCTCTACAACACGACAGGAACAAGGAAAAGTGACTCACCCGTGGTGACACATGGCGCCTTCTCATTTACCTTTAACGCTTATTTAGTGTTTCAGACACACCGACAATCAAGAGGACACGCAGATAACTCGTGCCACTGGAGTGCGTGTCAAAAGGCGTACAACTACACACGCGGTGCTGCCTCCGACCTTAGAGCAGAAACGGGAAAGGCAGAAGGAAACGGCTATTAGGCTTCCTACATACTTTTTCTTTGAGCCTTTGTGACTTTTCTCCGTTTTCTCAGTTGATCTTTCCCTTGAGTGACTTGAATCTCTCGAGTCCACCGATTCTCTGGATTTATCGCGTTTAAGATCTCTCTCCTTATGTTTTTTACGGCGTTCAATATCAAGGCGCAGGTCAACAGGGTCGTCCTTATATTTCCCTTCAGCCTACAAAGGCAGGAGGAGGGCAGAGTTTAGCACCAGGCTTTACAGCGCGCTAGCTCAGCACCATTACTTTGCTACTGACTGCACAGACTTCTGGAGAACAGGAATTTATCTGAATACTAATCAATGATGTAAAATAATGCACTATTAAAATAAGTTTGTCAGACTTCAATTTTCCTACTGCTTTCTAAGATCACTTTTATTCTTTTGATCTATTTTGTCGCTTTTTAACTTCTATTCTCTCTTAAACAGCATTAGAACAAACAGCCTGGTAATAAAGGAGGGAGAAACACAGAAGCTGACTCTAACGTGTACCACAGCCAGCCAGAGATGAGAACTTGGAAATCCAACTGGTTATGCACCAGAACTAACAGCTCACAGGGGTTTGCCACTGAACAGCAGCACGCTCGCTACCCTGCTGACGGGCATCACCCAGCAAGGTGGAAGGAATATTAACCACCAGGTCTGGAAACAGTACTCCAAGAGAAGCAAAAGCTGTTTGTTGCTTGGAGATACCTCAGATAGTGATTACTGATCAAAGTGGTAAGAGATGGAGGCCACTGAGTTGCTGCAACCAAGTGCACCTGGGAGAATGCCAACATCCCACTGACGTGTAGCCTTTAATGTCTGTCAAGAAAATTTACCTATAGCACTCCTTCCCCCTCGAGTGGAAGGCACCACGTGAAAGATGCCAAGAAGCCACCACAGGCGAAAGCAGGCGCTTCTCCACAGAATCCTAGCAAGTCTACTACTCCAAGCTACCCCTGGTGTTCCACTAAACAAACACCAACCAGCTGTATGAAAAACAACTAGGTTTGGGGTTTCTCTTTTTCACATTGTTAATTTACAAAAAAAAATAAAAATCTGGTAGTGATTGCTTTGAGTTCTATTTAAATTGCTACTTAAATAACGGATTACGGTAAGTCTCTTTGGAAAACGAGCAGCTGTGTTACCTGCGTATACTTTAAGACCAGTGGTACCTGGATGAGCTTCTGCTGACTGCACACACAGGAGCAGCACACGGGGACTGGCTGTGGTTCTGACAAACATTTAACTGAGCAGCAGCACGTCTGCAGAAGCCTGTGCACGACGTGCTAGCAACACCACAGAGCCTCCATGGCCGCGCTCAGCGACTGCGACTTTATTTACACAACTCTAGTCTTGGGAACTGAATGACTCTATATGCAACACACATCATATTAATCGTCTTGAATTAAATACAAAAGGATTAGTAATTCTCTAGCTATTAAATTTTTTACTTACATGAGTTTCTAAACACTTTTTTGTTTAAATAAATATGTCAAATAACGCAGGAGTGAGAGCAGGCGTTTTGTTTTGGTATTTTGCTCTTCTGCTTTCCCCAGGCAAAGAGCTTTAATTTCTACTCTGAGAATAAAACTGCTCCCAACACGGTGGATGACAGATAAGTGACAAAATCATCAGCAGCTCCCTTATGTGGTACAGCAAACACCTATTGGGGTTTGTGAGGGCACGTCTGTTTCACGGAAGGCTGGCGAGCCGTTTGGAAACCACGTTTATAACACACTCTGCCAAGCTGATGCTCAGAGTTCAGGCCCATCAAATCCATCTCACCATCGTCCATGTCAAGCCACAAGTGTGTTTGGAAAAAATCGGAAACAAATATGAAACAAATCAGCAGGACTGTTTAAAAATCTCTTCAACGTTCAACGTAAATATGTATGAAGGTGAATAAACACAGGTTAAAATCCCAAACATTCCACGTTAAGCCACTTTTATGATTGTTTACAGTGAGTGCGATGGCTTAACATTCATCTACTCAGAAAAGCTAATGCACTAAATTCCACATGGTCTGGATCTACTACAACAAGTGCTGAATGTTAAAGTAACAGCAATCAACAGAAATGGTACAGCAAGTTGTTAGAACAAAGTTTATCATCTGCTTAACAGTGTATTTGGTTTAGATAAGTATTTAGTTTTACTTTCCTCTTTTTGACATGCATGTCTTTTTGAAAACATGGTTGGAAATATCGCATGTATACAATTGATTTAATAATACTTACAAGCAGAAAAATATCACAAAAAGTCTCTTCTCTCATCATGGGCACTTGCTCCAAAAATCCTCTCTTTTTTCTCAAGCTCACCTCAATTGACTTTGGGGTCATTTACCATAGTCTAACCACTTCACAAAGGTTGTTGATACATTTTTAATAAAAATTAACCCTTTGTAGTTCATTTTTAGAATTATGCCCATCCTTAAAAGAAAAACACAAACTTAAGTAGAGAGTAATTTAAACAAAAACATCACTGTTAAGTTCATGCCCAATGCACTCATTTTGTAGAATTAAACTAATCAGAGTAACAGTTCACCTTGAAGCCAGGATCTCTGGAGCTTTTCGTTTCCTCTTGAGAGAATCCATGTTTTCTAAAAGTACTGGGAGATATATCTATCCTCCTAAAAGTAAAGAAAGTACACAGATATAATCTTGCTCATAAGAAGAATCTGAAGTTTTCAGATCAAATGTCATTTAAAGCAAACCAGTATTTCCAAAGGTACTTATAACTCCCCGTATTTTTCTGTTTTTCTGCTGAAGCTAGTCATACACTTGAATTATTCTAGAATTATTCCAGGGTTTAAGAGAAGGAGATGTGAAATACCCTGAAATGTCAGACAGTGTCTAATGGCACCAACCTGTGGATTTCAGGACTCTTTTTGTTCTTAGCTGCGTCTTGTTCCATTCCTTTCTTTAGATATTTGGTAAAGCGTTCATTCAGTGTCATTCCCGACGACCCAAAGTGATGCTCTGTTGGGAGTTTGAACAAACAAGGCCAAAATATTAACACCACTTTCGTAAAAGGAAAGCACATCAGTCCTACAGCTTGGTTAAATTCAAGACACGTGAAGTACGCTCGTGATGAGCTCTAATGCTGCTTAAAAATTTCAATTTCAATCTTGAAATTGGCTATTTCTTCTTTAACCTTCCACTGGAGCTACCTTGTCTAGTGGCAGGTGTCCCTTCCCCTTCATCTGAGGGTACGTGGCCTTCTGACCTACCTCTTACATGATGGACTATAGTCACTATATGCTGAGCAAACAGTTCGGACGGACTTCGCTGAGACTGAGCAGACTGAATATGATGGAAAATCGAACGAAATTCTTGCTCTTTTTTGTTGCTGTGCACAAGGTCACGACACAGCTTGCGCTCCTGAGCCAATATGCCACTTGGACTAGAAAAAGAACAGACCACATGAGATAGAAGAACAGGGTAAAGGGAAGCCGTTTAAGATGATTCACGTTTCAGAAGTTGGAAGCTGACTGCATTTTTTATGGACTATTATGAAGGCACCTAAGAACACTGAGTAGCATGAGCAGGACGATTGTTTAAACATCGCTAAAACACACCGATCTGGGTCACTGTAACGACGTGGGTCACCTGTTGTGCTGTACTTGGAGGGCTGTGTAGGTATTGAACCCTGACGTCCTGTGAAACACACGCCTGTTCTTACACCACTAGCTGGCTGTGGCAATTTGCTACCGTTCCTAAATTAACCTCTACCATCTCACAGAGCGTGTTAACCCCTACTGGCTACTGCCATACAAATTTATGTTCTGGAATAACTTTTTACTGCCTTAAAATTTCTGGAAGCAATGCTGAAGTGGGTTCTAGAGCTTTCTGGAGTTCCAGTAACACTCTGTTGAGAATAACAGTAGTTAAACACTCTCCAGAGAATCAAATGTCATTTGAGCAGCACTGTAACTCCCCTGTACCACTAAGATTCTAGCAGCAAGTAGTCACTGAGTATCTAACTCTTCCCAGAGCCCAGTGTAGCACAGATGCAGAAGTGCTTACATTCTGCATTAATCTTATATCTAGTCATAGAAAAGATTAGGAAAACTTATTTAACCTTCATGCTATACTTTCACCATCTGCAAACATCTCTAACCTCCTATCACACACAAAAAAAAAGTGTCACACAAGTATTAACAAGTATTATAATGCCAGAAAAAAAATAATCTCTATCTGTAAAAAAACGAAAACTGTGAATGCAAAATTATTTAGCCTTCCTCACACTTGGGAAGAACATGAGGATCTCAGGAAGAGAAACAGGAAAAAAAAAAAAATCACTATTTAGACTTCCCAAAAACCAGCAAATACTTACCGTGCAAGATCTTCATCGAAGGAATCCATTCGAATATTGACCTGGGCCTCACGAGTAATGGAGAAGGAGGACTTGCCAGGAGCTAGCCCCTCCACTTTGGTGCCTGGTTTCTCCTTTACCTCAGAAGCCTTCCTCAGTGGGGGGGAAGAACTTTTTTCCTGGCTGGATTTGTAAGTGGTCACTCTAAAATTCTTCTCAGGAACAAAGCCCCTGTGACCTGGCTCAGCTCTCTTGGCTGCTGGTCTCTCTTCTTTTTTTGCTCTTTCAGAATAGCTTTCCTCCTCCATTTCATCAGGTTTCCTTTGCTTCTCTTTTCCAGGTGGCAAGAACACCACCCCTTCCCATTTTCCTGGCCTCTCCTCTTCTTGACTTTTACTTGAAGTTGCTACAACTTTAGACATAAATTTGGGCTCATCATCAAATTCCGAATCTTTTCGGACTTTTGCCTTGTCTTTCTTTTCCTGCTCATCTGCTTCCTCTTTGCCATAATGACTCTCCTTGTGGAACTCCGGGACCTTTAGCTTGTCAAAGTCATCCCGGAACTTGTAGCGCTTGGGCGACTGGCTGCCACGGTATCCCTTCTCGGAGTCGGCTTTGGATGCATAGGAGTCAGATTTTGCCTTTCCATCTGTTGATCCCAACTCAGAGAAATTCCCTTTTTCTTTATTTTTTTCTTTGTCAACATTTGTTACTTTCTGTTCTTTGTCTTTCCCATTCTCAGTCTTCTGCTCTTCCAGATACCTGTTCATAAAACAGACGTGACAGCAGTTCTCTTATTAAAAATCAAAGAGGTTCATACTTCAGCTGAAAGCAGTCAAATTCTAGAGAACATCACGCTATACATGTACAGAAAGCTGTCTCTAGGCCCTAAAATAGTTAAGATGTAAAGCAGATTACTCAGCCTGGACTTAGACTTTTAGTTCTCAACAGATTCAGCAAATGTAGAAGAAAATGGATATGCAGAACTGATGAAATGAGGCTTAAGAACAAATAAAAAACAACTTACCCACAGATTCGTTTTAAGGAAAATAGTAACGTCTTACCCACTCGGTTTATTTACTTACAAACCTGGTTCAGGAGAACAACACATCAAAACTTTCAAACTGGGCTGTTCTGCTTTAAACAACACACTGGAAATAAAAGCCTCAAAAGCTACTTCAAATTTTGGATGCAAGTTTCATAGGTAAGCTAAATATTTCATGACCGACTGTAAATACAAATAAGAGCAAAAAGGTTAACAGAGGAGAATATTTTGCTGGAAGAAGACAAAACACTTCTAGTGAGAACAACAACTCATCGCAACCTAGTCTAAAGCATCAGAACCACATTTTAAAGCACCCACTAAGCAACACCCCAGCTTTGAGGAAACACCAGTAAAGCCCAAGCACATTAGCTCAGTGCTTTGAAAGGCCCAAACGAGTTACAGAGCTTTTTATTTTTTTCTTTTTAAATTTCAGACACCCTTGATATAGAATCAGTGCAAAATAACTGTAATGAAGAGATTTAAAAGCACTCGTGAATGCCACTGTGTCTTTTTAAACCAAACGAACTGGCAGCGTTCTGACCAGGCACACAGAAACGCGGCGAGCTGGTGCCACCTGTGTGAAGGACGTCTTGGTTTGGTGATCATCTCGGTGCTTCGCTTCCTCGCACCGCCCACAAACACCGGCACAAGCGTGGCAGCTGCAGCGCCCCAGGCTGCTTGCAGCAGGACATGCACTAAGATTTAATTACATTTTGCTAATTTAGAGTATCTAATGCAATTCAAGAATGCAATATTTAAAAAAAAATAAAGGTCTCTAACTGAAAAGTAACTAACCTAGAAAGGCAAGCTTCCCATGTGCGCTGCCAGGGAATCACGGGGCACATCTTCACTTCAAGCACTCATGAGCTATCAACACTTTTGCAGGAACCTACACAAACTTGTGAGCTACCCAAGCCAGGAAACTAACTCCAGCTTCCTACAACGCAGGGCCAGGTCTGTGTTTTGTTCTTTAATTTAGACAGGACCATGCCCAAACGGTGGCAGCTGGCATGCACCGAGAACCCTCACGGCGCTCATGGAGAGCGCTTACACGTGCCAGCTGGCTTGCCAAAACACTGCAGCACAACAAAACGCATCACTTGCCTTTTGGAGAAGGCTCCTCCTCCAGGAGCTGTGGTTTCCTCCTTCTGAGATGTACCGTAAATCGAACCGACTGGCGTGGGACTTTTGCACACAGGGCTCTTCCTCGTTGGGCTCAAGCCTGCCGAGCCATGGTCAAACGGGCTCTGGTGAGAACCTGCCTGGAAGGAGGAGCTGCTGCTTTGTAAAGCAGAGCCCATCTGTGAGGGGCTGGACAGTGGAGGGCTCGACTTCTGCAAGGGACTTGGCCGAGGAGAACGCCGCCTCACCACGACCGACTGGAGAGGGCTTTTTAACGCAGGGCTGCGTTCCCGCGGGCTGAGCTCGGACACAGAAGCTCCTCTCGACGCCGAGCCTGTACCATAGGTGGCCGCATCTTGCCATGGTTTCGACCCCTCAGACGCCTTGACGTCTTGAGCCGCTGCTCCTGAAAAGGGCTGCTCCTTAGACTCATCACCTTGATTATCTCCTGCAGCCTGAGACGCCCGGGCATCCTTGGAAGATGACTTTTTCTCCTTTCCAGATTTACGCTTGGAAGACTCAACTCGGCTATGATTTGAGGAAGACCGGGAAGAGGAAGACCTCCTTGACCGATCAGAAGATGACTTATCAGAATTCCTAGAATGACTTCTAGACCTTGGTGAAGGAGACCTTCTCTTGGGTGAACGAGAGCGTGACCTCCCTCTACGAGGGCTATACGCTTGGCGATAGTTTTGCCAGTTTGACCTGTAATTCCCATATCCTCCTCTGTTATACTGGCCCCACGGGTAAAATCCTCGATTCCGGCCTCGAAAATAATACGGTCTCCTGTATCCTCTGTTATGACCTCTGAAATCCCGGTTCTGATAGACTCTCGGATGGTTCCTTTCTCTGTTATGAGATGGAGAATAGGATCTTGAACGGGATCTAGAACTGCCAAAAGAAAAAAATCACACAGATATTTTAAAGTGTATTCCTCTGTCACAAGTTTGAGTCCTTACGAAAAAAGAACTGGAAAAACGAATTCCTAAGCTGCTAAAAGTAATTTATTTGGTTTACCCTCATCCATTTGCCCTCAATAAACTGCAGTGGAACTAACTTGCGTCTGTGATACTGTCAAACAGATATGTGACTTCAGGATCACTGCAGAGGCCACGACGAGTACACACTGCTCTTCATTTTTCTAGGGTGAACACAGCTGCTATCCAGCCTCAGGAAAAGGGACAGATCTCAAACCTTCAGCCCTAGGTTACACCTCACCTTAGATCTCCTTCACAACAGAAGCCTTTCTTTATGCAGGTCATGCTACCATTATTGGAACAGATTAAAAATCTTCCTCTGCTGTCCCTCAGTTATCTCATGTGCTTTTGAAATCCTGGCGAGATGAAACCGTGCTTCTTTGCCCGGTGAGCTAATAAACTGCTACAGCTCAACAGGAGAAGAGCAGTACTGGAGCGCACAGCAAGCTGCTCTGCATTTCAAGTTTTGGAAGGTGCACCCCTTGCCACAGTTCTGAAGCTGGAGCTCCACCAAGCAGCAGGACAGCAGAGGGACATGCTCGCTCCCCAGCCCAATGCCGGGAGATGGCACTGCTCGGTGTCCCTCCGCGCCCACCACAGCGGGCGAGAGCTCTCAAAGAACAGAACTGGATCCAAGACAAGTACAAAGCCTGTAAGAATACAGATTCAAGCAGCAAAAGATTGAGGGATAATTGTTCCAATAGCCTCTTCCATTAAATTTTTGGAGCTGCAGTTGTGTAACTGCAAAAAAAAAAAGCCTCACTGTAGCTCAGGATTAAATGCCAACTTTGCAGTATTTCACAGCTGTTGGAAAAACACAAACTTCTGAGGAAAGTCTGAGATTCTAGCAAGTTTGCATTGGTAAAACAGAAAAAGCTTCCAAACAAGTAACTTTAAATAGAAAAGAGATTTTTCCAACTGGACTTTTAGTAAACAGTATTCACTGAAATCATTCCCACTGTCCATTACATTAGGAGAGCGCCAGGCAGCTCCGAACCACTCATCAGCCACCCCAACAGACGTGCACTTCTGTTGCACACTGGCAACTAACTCCCAACTCCCTGCAGCCCCCTCTCTGCCCACCCCTCAAGCCCTGCAAGGAACGCAACGCTGCCGCTGAGTTCCTACACCATTAGCGTGCAGAAAGGAACTTCAGGTCTGGTTTTGGTGTTTCCCCCTATCAAATACAGTAAGCAGAAAACAGTCTATTCATACTACAGTCATTGCTAGTTTAATGATAGTTTTAACATATGGCTCATCCTTTACTTCAAACAACCAAAAAACCCACGCAACTTAATCGGAGACACCTCCTCGTTTGAATAACGAGAAGGAAAAGCCCAGAGGCAGGTGGCAAGAACCAGCTGTGAGGAGCCCTTGTCAAAAGCACTAAACACACACGTTCCCATTTTCAGACAACTGCTGCATTTGTGATCAATTACCAGCAAGGGATGTGTTGTAAGCTGCTTCCAAAATCTGTTCTATCATTTTAGAGAGGCTTGCAGCAGGAAAATTTCACTCCAAAAGCTGTAAAGACTATTTACAAGAAATCTTTTCAGAAAAATACCGTAAATGTTATGCAAAAGAACCACCACAAGTAATAATTCTCCCAACTCTAGCAGCCCCTGCAGCGAGCCAGCTAACACACACTGCTCCAAGTCTAAAGCACCTACCACTTTACAACAGGTAAAAACAAAAAATAAAGTTGTAAAGAAAGTAAGAAATATTAGGCAGACTCCAGCATGGCAAGGTAATCGTTTTCGTTGTGTATGCTGAAGCACACAATAATAGATTTTTATGCCAAGATAACATATGAGACCTACCTCAGAGAACATCCTAACGCCATGCAAGATGGCTTGTCTGTACTAACCTCCTCCATTTGGATTCTTTTTCAAAAAAGGAGTTATTTACAAAGCACAAGTAGATTCAGCAGCAGCACAGAAGAAACAATCATGTTTGCACAGGTTTTGTCTTTGTTTCAGCTGTCAAAGTTCCTTCATAGCTAAGCAGATATTCCCAAATGACCACGTATCTTCCAGCATTCCAGCTTCCTTCTGTGAAGAACTCTGCTTGACTCAAGTCTCCGCCTCTAATTTAGTTTTGCCATGTCCTTCTCTTTCCAACTGCACATTTATTAGAGCCTCTGCATTTAAAAAATCTCTGTAATTGTTAACAGTTGCATGTGCTTACAGCATAATGACTTTCAGAATACATGTTTTAATTTAAGATTAGTGAAAAAGCAGCTGAACATCATTATACCCAGCCCAACTGGAATGTCTTTGCCGGATACAAAATGCTTAGCCAAAAGAAAAGGAAAAAAACAGATATCCCGATATCCAGGGAAGAGATGAGCCTTTAACTGGCCTGATCAGAAGCCATTCAGGGAGGTAAGAACAACTATTACGCACATTAATGACTTCTCAAAACTAACTGCAGTGAAATTAGCTTTATCTACTTTGTCCATCCAGAAATATCATTTCTGTAACTGACTCCTGTGTGTTGAGGCGAGGGGCAGGGAAACAAAAATAAAAATTGCCCCTACCTTCGACAGCAGTATCTTAAACTGACATTAGAACTTGTTTGAATTCATTTTTAGAAACAGGGGAAAAGCACACAACGTCTGCAAAGGCCCCTCAAGTCTGGAATCAATTAAATTAAAAGCTTTTAAAAAAGCCAAAGATGTTTAACACAACAAAGGAGCACATTTTGCTAAGGACCTTCCCAACTCTTCCCCACTCTGACCAGGAACACAAACTCTCTCACAGCAGTAAAGCAAATGTCTGATCAAAAGCATTTATCAATCTCTAAAATAATCTCAGGTCAGGATAAAAAGGTATGATTTTTTTTCACTTCGTCCTGTTTTGGCAATTTCAAACACCATCATTAACCACGAGTACCTTTAATATAGGAAATTGGATCTCGGAGATCGTGTACTCAGCGTTAGGAAAAGCACAACAGGCTGTCCCACTACCTACAGCAGCAATTAACAACTGCAGAAGAACATGGGGGGAAGAACACACGTGCCTTTTGACACGGGCTTCTATTAATAACTTGGAGGAAAAATGAAGTACAGAAGTCTTCTCTAGGGGCCCAGTCTAAAAAGGCTGCAACAACTTCCCCGTGGACTGTATTCCCAACAAAATGAGCTGTACTAACAAAAACCCCTTCTGATTTAACAGTAGAGTATCTGTTAGTACTCATACTAGAGGAAAGAGACGTGCACGGAAAAGTAAAACTATTGTTCACCAAAAACCATGCTACAGAGATTAGGTTAAGGGCTCAAAAGAAGTATTTTGACAATGCTGAGAAACAGTCACAATTTATTCTCCTAGCTCATGGAAAACACTTCAGAACAGCTCAGGCTGGCAGGAAACAGCCTAAGACACAGGATGCTATCTGTCCTAGAATCTAATCAAAGTCTTTCCCTGGAAAAGAACTAAGTGACAAACCATCTGAGCAGGACAGAGAGGAAAAACAGTTGCACCCTTGGGCTTCAGAGCTGCACGCACTCACCTAAGCCTGCGTTTTCTTGAGCGTGAGACAGAACGAGAACGGGAGCGAGACTTGGAGAAGGAACGGGAGCGGGATCTTGATCCAGACCTCGAACGGGAAGAACGGGATCCCGATTTTGATTTGTTGGTTTTAGACATCTTTGCAAGCACCTGTCAGTTGCACCTGAAGGAAAGAGGGAAACAGAAGTATTTCAAAAATGAAGTCACGTGGCAGATTTGAGAGAACAGGCAACATCTGGCAGCCTGACAAACCAGAGTGACATGAAGCTCGACAAGACTGGAAACAAGAACGTCTGAAGTGGCTGCCTAATAGCAGATGAATGGTGTTGGGCTCAGAATAGAAGGTTTATTTCAGTCTAAGGAGGAAATCTGCAAAAAGAATAAAAGGCTTTCAACCCAGAGTAATTACAAATTTGAGAGCTACAGCTGAAAGCAGCAAGTTAATGCAAAACCCAGGAGCAGGCAGAGGCCACGCTGCTAGCTTAAGCAAGAAACCCTTTAGAGAGACAAGCCATTTCCTTTCAGTCACATCCCTGTCATACAGCCAGCTGTCACTGCGTCCAAGAACAGCGAGAAACAAAAAGGCTTACCGTGAAAAAAAAAAACAAACCAAAACACAGCACCAAAAAACTCACCCCCTAAAGTCTTCTCTAAATTTTCAGAAGGAATCATGACCAAAAATGATAATCCAAGATACATGATCACAACCCTGTTTGCACAGATCTGCCTTGCTATGATGCTCACAGTAAATCCTGGACATGCATCCTGTGCAGGTCATGCAGTTGCCATGATCAGTTACAAGTGTGTATCATCCAGGGAGGAGTTCTGCTGCAGCCAGAATAACTCAGACCTCTTTCCAAATATTCACAGAGTCATTCAAGCACTAAAGACAAAGCACGTCATCGTTCATCATGAGAGCTGGTACTTTCCAGAAATGGGAAGTTGGCTTTTATTTTAAAAATCATGTTACATGTTCCCATTCTTCCCTTCACTATATTAAAGATGCTGTATCGATTCAACTGAACTATTTTAATATATTCCACAGTGCAAGTATGTAG